GAGCTGGAATAGGCTCATCGAGGTGGAGTATGAAGAACGTTTTGCAGGTAGATAGTTATCTTGGCCCACGGTTTTTCCCTGGATTGACATGTTCTAAACAACTACATCCAAGATCTGGTTTCAACAACTCTTCCGGCGATGCGGCATCAAACCAATGTCAGACAAAGATTTGAAGTGCTTGGGAAGCAGTAAGATCAAGCAGAAAGCATGCCAGACCCAAGGGAAGTAGGCATGTACCAGCTTAAGCAGCCGCGTCTGCACCATGGTAGCATGCTATGCTCCCGAGCTCGCAAGCTTGTTGCCTGGGATGGAAAGAGATCAAAACGGAATATATGTATGCTTCATTCACATGATTACGGCGTTGCCCCCCCCCCCTGTAATTTAGGCGTATTTAATCTCTCTCTCTCTCTCTCTCTCTCTCTCTCGCTCTATATATATATATGTAGCTATACCTGTATATATATATATACATATGCACATACACACATACGTCCGTTAAAGGATCTTGGGCTGTCTGTCCCCGGCATGAGGCTTACCGAGTTCATCGATGGCGCTGCAAAGCTCCGTGGGCTTTTCGGTCTAAAAGCGGCTTGGGGTTCAAGGCTCCTGTAAGGGTTCTATGTCTATCAGGGCTGTATATCATGTAGGGTCCCTTTCTTCTATATCAGGGATATGAGGATAATTATGTTCTATACCTCTACTATTGGGTTTAGGGTTCAGGGTTCTTTGAACGGATTCTGTATATGCAGTACGGGGGATTAGGGTTCAGGGTTCCTTGGGAAGGGCTCTATACATACATGTAGTATGGTGGTTTCAGGGTTGAAACCCATTTGCTACGAGCCAACTCAGACATAGAAGCTTCTGTGATGGCGAGCCGTAATCAAAGCGGAAGTGCGCTGGGATTTACTTCGATTGGTGCTGTGGGAACGAAAGAAGCGGTCAGATTGATTGTGTTGCTATTCCTGAATAATCCCTGCATAACGATAGGATAAGTACACTTATAAATATGCCCCCGAACGTTTAAAGCACCTATCCGGGAATGAAAAGTCTGGGAAGCATCCCGCCCGAGGACGGCGAAGGCATTGGACATATGGCGAATGGAGACGAAGCTGGAGGCTATCGTGGGTTGAGGGTTTAGGGTGTTAGCATGGTATTGATGTGGTATTTATATAATACTGACTTGGGTATTGGCTCGATGTAGGATTGCTGTCGATGTTGACATAGTAATGATGTAGCAAAGTATTGCGTTCGCAGTGTTATATTCGATGTTGACTTACTAGAATTACCAGTATAGCATGTCTAGCATATAGTGTAGTTATAGTACATTGTTTTCGAATTGTACACTGACTGATACAGTAGAAGATGATAGAACATATTGATATAGTGCATATCAGCAGCATTCTGTTCCATGCAGCGACAGTTCACCTCACTTCGTGCTGCATTGATCCCGTGCTGACGCACACCTAGTTTAAAACATTGCCAGTAGTATTCCGCGGGGATCTTTGTTGTGATTGTCGGATGTTGTGAATATCTACCACAGAAGCCTCTTCTGATCACAAGGGCCCCTCTGTTCTCTGAAGAAGCAGCTCATGCAGCTCATGCGATGAGTTTGCAGGTGCTGTTTGGCGAAGTGTTGGCTGCCATCAGAGGCCACCGGATTCTCTAAGCTTCTCCTGAAAATCCTTTAAACCACAGCCTAAACCCTGCAAGCCCTAGAGCCCCGAAGCTCTCGACCCGACGCCCTTTGAGAAACATGGGGGGATGTTGCGTTTCGGTTGTAACGACAAGAAAGTGAAGGGTTCCAGGAAGTTGGTTTTGAAACGGGTAGAAGGCTGATTCTTTTTGAGCTTCAGGTCAGCTCAGGCTTTAAACCCTCAGAGTCCTAGACCTTCCAACCTAAAGCCTAAACCCTACCCATAGGCCCCTAAGTAATTCCTTTTCATGCTTTATGTTTAAACTCCTATCAGGTAATCCAAAAAGGAACTACTTAGGGGCCTATGGGTAAACCCCAAACTTTAAACCCCAAAACCCTAAGCCCTACTTGGCACAAAACTCCAAACCCTATTGGTAGACGGTTGCCCTGTCCGTCGCGAGGACACTCCGACGTCCGGGATGTCTTTGACAAGCTTCAGCTGAAAAACATCACCTTTAGCACGAACTCGCGCACGTTAGGTGCCAACTGAGTGAGACGCTATGAAGACTCTTCCCTGGGATTTCTGAAAAGCCAATATGGAAGATAACCTGCATCGAAACCCTACATTTTTTGTATCGGGGCCCGTGTGTCTGATTTAATGGAAAGCAAGAGAGGCCCTGAAGTGGGTGCAACGAAGTCCCCCTTGGAGTTACATTCACAGCCCTCGGCAGAGCATCATGCTCGGCAGACGAGAGATATGTGGGGGTTGCTCTGAATCTTGGTCCTGAGTTTGACTTCAAGTACCTTGACAATCCGTAAAATACGGTTGATGATGCAAATCCTGCATGACCCATAATAAGGAATAGACCACAATACCCATAGTTTAGGGTGCTCAAGGTAATGCAGGATTTAGATCATCAACAGTAGGAGCCAACCCCTCGGCCGCTGGGACATTCAATGGCTTTTGCATAAGCGACATCACAACTGTCGAAGACATTGTTGCGATGCGACACCATCTTTTCGAAGATTCATGCTGGAAGCTTTGTCTTGCCCAGCACTAAACCCATGATCTGAACCTGCAAACTCTAGAGCTTAATATACTCGCTCCTATTTTGGCCCCTGTACTTAATAAACAGGAACTCAGTCTCGACCGCAAAACCGTACATAAAACCCGAAGGGAGCTCAGTCTCGAATCCTCACCCACGAGCTTTTTCTTGCTGGGCGCGCGCCCGCTCCGGCTGAACCGCTTGCCGATGCAGCTACGAAAAACGAAGAACAAGTTGTGCATATGATACATATATATATATATAGACAGACATATGTATACCTGTCTTTATACTTAGAGCTACATTTAAACTTAAAAGCCCTACTTACTTTTTAAACTGCTTGTCGATTCACAGTCATGTTCATCCATTCGTGTAATTATGTATTCATGTATGTGCTTATGCATTTAGCATTCATGTATTCTTGCGTATATATTCATACAGATGTATGTACATACATACACAAGCATATTCGTACAATCACATACACGTATAACAACAGATGCACAAATAGACGAACATCAACAGACATATGTAAATCAGACTATACAAGTAAATACAATGAATACATAAGGAAATACATGCAAGCAAACATCAACAAGCATAAACGAATAGTTACAGCCATACGTAAACCCATACATAAGTACATGTGCATAAGTATTACACATGACAACGTACACAGACAAATACAATCAACAGCCCCATCTGTGTGTATATTACATATAATTATGTGTATGTATGTATATATATATATACATACATATACATATGCATAGGTACGTATACATGCACGTCCGCAAGCTGCCAGGCATTTCCATCGCCTGGAAATTCCACAATGGCTGCAGTACGCTACCACAACAGTAGCAACTTCAAGGGATCAACCGTGTGGAATAGCCATGGTTGGACGACAAAGCTTGCGACGCATAAACCGAAAACCCTAAACCCTCAAGCCCTGAAGGCCGGAACATGAAACCCCAAAACCTACTAGCCCTACACTGAACTCCCAGCCAACCGTAACGCCCCAAAGCCCTAAAACCCTAAACCCCCTAAACTTCTAAGCCCTAAATAATACCCAAAAGCCCCAAACCTTAAAGCTCACCCGAAGTCATGAAGCCAAAGGGTTTAGGGGTTTCTCGGGCTTATGGATTTAGGCCTTCGTGGTTAGGGTACAGGGGTTTCCGGTTTAGGATTTTCAGCCCCGAAAACTGCAAGCAGGGGTCAAGGGTTTGGGTTACAGGCTGTTGGGCTTGGAGCTTTGGCGGCTGAAACCTTACTTTAGGGTGCTGTTCATGTCCCATATGTGAACCAGACTGAGGGTGGATTTTCCCCGCACCTTTGCGTTGTCTTGCATCCGGTGCTAAAAATTTAGCAGCCGCTAAGGCCTGCCAACCCTGGTGAGGGTTTTTTGGGCTTCCTTGGTTTATCGGGTTTAGGGTTCCCAAGCCCTCGGCCCAACGCTGCTCCGGGGATAGGCGGCCAGAGACTCCAAGATGTCAAGAGCATGCAAAGCTCCACGTGAACACACATGTACACTCAGAATCACCAGTGCCACGCATGAAGTGGCAATAATATCTACATTTGCTTGATGTAGGACATTCTTCATAACCCTACTTCTGGTCGACAGAAAGACAAGTACCGTGACTTTTCAGACGAGCAAATACAACGAAGCTCCTCCGAAAGGTTCACAAACTCCCAACTGCAGCCTTGGACCCGAAAGCATCTGACCAAAGCTTGAACCCGTGCCTGCTTCATCATCACTGCATCCTGTATATGGGTTCTGGAAGCACTCCAAGTGCGATGTGTGTGGATACCAGGTCCTGCCTTGAACTCAGACCCCCCAGGCCTGAAACCCAAAACTTATGCCCTGAAGCCCCACGTCAGCCTAAAGCATTTGGTCGGAACGTCTCGCTAGCGTTCTTAGGACTGCATGAGCATCCAGCTGCAGTCCTAAATCCATAGTTCTAAATCCCAAATCTTAACTCCTAACCCTAACCCTCCAGGTACCTACTATATAGGGCCCTAGGGGCTCTAGTACCCTCTATAGTAGGTGCCTGGAGGGTTAGGGTAAAGCCATAAAAAAACCGAGGTATAAACACTCCTGCAGCATCTGGCTCAAGTCCGAGCACCAACGAAGCGGCGGAAGGTCACCGAAAGGCCGCCGAAGGCGCCGAAAGCGGCCCTAGGCTAGGAAAGACCCCAGAAAGATCCGAAACCTTCGGGCTTATGGATTTAATTTAGGGCCCTAAGACGGCTCAAAGATCACATGGGTCAGGATTTGTCAGTTTCTTGAAACAGAGTTTCTGAGTCGCCCGTGCTTGATTGAGGGGTCTTCAAGTTTCGCTGGATCCGAGTGTTCTCCGACATGGGCCGCACTCTCTTCTCTGTGCTTCTCCCCAGCCGCTGGGTTGCATTGGGAAGGGCTGCTTGTGAGCTTAGGGTATGAGGATGCATGAGGTCTTTTGGTCTGAAGGTTTAGGGGTTTAGGGGTGTATGGTTTAGGGCTCAGGGTTTGGGGTTTAGGGCTTAGGGGGTTTAGGGTTTAGGGTTTGAGGTGCAGGGAGTTTGGAGTCAAAGCGTGATAGGGATGGTAGAGGTATTTAGGGCTACGGGGCCTCTAGGATGTATAGCAGTAGAGCTTCTTGTTGACCCTGGCGGCGATCAGGGTTCGCGGCAGGCAAGGTCTAAATCTCCGGCATCTTCCTTGAATGAACGATCCCTGACTGAACAAGTTCCCAAACCAGAAGCCCCCAAATGCTCCCCTAAACCCTAACCGGCCCTACACCCTGAACCCTACGCCTGCCAACAATCCTGAAGCATGGCTTCTAAACACGGCTAACCAGTGGCGTTTCGTTGCAGGGATTATGCAGAGTTCGAGCAAACCTATGCTTGCAAGCGCCCCGAAAGCTTGCTGAAGCCCGGCAGTCCTAAAGCCTAATCTCAAGATATCTCAAGCCTTTATAAGTACCAAACCCTATACACCATTCCAACTATAACCCGATATTTAGACGCGTTTTGGAACTTGGAACCTTTAAACCTCTACAAAGCAAAAACCCTCAATCTTGGAACCCTTAAAACTTTATCAAGCAAAGACCCTAAATCCTAAGAATCCAGGCCTCGCGCTCGTGGCGGCCGGAAGTGGCCTTCGTGCTGCCCGTGCACGTGGGATTTTCCCAGCCTTTGGGACAATACAGAGTTTTTATAGGGTTTTGGGTTGGGTTTAGGGTTTGTGTAGGCTTGTCCAAGGCAAGCTAACAGTAAACATAGCGGCAGGAACAACTATGAACAAACGTCGCCACAATGATGATAATACCCATGCAGTCACCATGATGATAGCAAAGCCATATGCCGTTATGCTATCCGTTTATACCTCCTTCAGGTGCCGGGTTGCCGCGGTTTGGGGGGGCGGGGGGGGTATTGCGTTTCGTGTTTCGAGGTTTGGGTTGCTATGGTTTGGAGTTTGGGTTCTTCTTTGGGTTCTTCTACGGTTAGGTTGTGTTTAGGAGCTTGTTTAGTGTGGGTTTAGGTGTAGGGTTTAGTATCGAGTCTTACAGGGTTTGTTGGGACTTTATGAAGTACGAGGGATCTTCAGGCGGGTGTTTTGACGGCTTAGGTTTTCAAGCTTTAGGTTGTTGGGTGTGCCTTTTGGGGTTTCACTTGGAAAGCAGCAGCCCCGGCTGAACAAGAGCCTCCCTAGCCTAAGTGAGGATGCGTCCTTGACAGATGTAGTTGGCCTTCTGAATCAGACTTCCTTTATTGAAGGGAGGTTTAGGTCTCTGAGTCTTGCTGTGCTCATTGGCGCTTTTCTGCCAGAAGCATGGGCCAACTTTTTCTACTCGAAAGCCCTGCACCCAGACGTTAAACCAAAAGTCCAAGAGACTGTTTGGAACGAGGTCTACGATGGCACCATCACCTCACCCAGGCCTTCCGGAGCCATGCGATGCGGTAACCTCATAGTACCCCCATAGCTTGATACCTTTTCCTCAACCCTCAACAGCAACCCGAGAGCCTAAGCCCTAAACTTGAAACCCTGAACCCTCAACAGCCGCGTATCCTTGTGGTAATCTGCTGGGCGTCGGGCTGTAAGTGCTTCGGCGAGCTGGTCTCCGGGGCTTTGCAAACTGCCCGCAAGTTGACAGGCGAGAATTTTGGGGGATTTAGGGTTGGGTTTTAGGGGTTTTAGGGTTTGGGGTTTAGGATTTTAGGGCTTAGGGTTTTGGAGATCAGGGGTTGGTGTTGATAAGGTTTCTGAATGTTTATGACAAAAGGAAGTGGCACACTGCGAGCCTACAATCCCAAGGCACACTAAACCCTCAACCCTAATCCCTAACCCAAACTCTAAACCCTGAGACTGGACCCTACAAACCCGTAAGCCCTAAGTAGCGCTTGACACCTTAGAGCTCCAACCCTTCCCTCGAAGTTACCGTCCTTCGGCCACCTGCTTCGAGGCCCAGGGCACCTAGTAAGTAAGTAGGTCGTAAAGTAGAGTTATAGGTACCCTACTAAATGGAGTTCCACCCTAAACCCTCAGCCCTGAACCCGAAACCGTGAGCCCTAAACCCTAATAAAAGCCCTAAACGGACTAAACCCTCAACGATAGTCAGCCTAAACCCTAAACCCTAAACCGCAAGGACCCTAAACCCTCAACCCTAAACCCCACTCAGGAGCGACTTACTAAGCCCCCTGGGCCTCCAGGTGCAGCTGCCACTGCTGCGTGGTGGAACGTCGTCGGCCCGACGAAGCTGGAGGACTCCGCTTTAGGGTTTAGGGCCTAGGGCTTGGTGCTTTAGGGCTTAGGGGCTTAGGGTTTGGGCATTTAGGGCTTAGGAGTTTAGGGTTTGGGGGGTTTAGGGTTTAAGGTTTATGGATCAGGGTTTAGGGTTTTGGGTTTTGAGATCCAGGTTTCCGGGTTCGCGGTGTTACTCGCAGGGTTTTGTGGCGAGTTGTGTGTGCAGGGTTTGGATTTGAAGAAAGTTGCTTAATCTTGTGTTGAGATGCAGGGTTGCTTCCCCCATGCTGTACTTACCCATGATGCCTTATGGAGAGGTCACTGCTGTGTTGGTGGTGTTGCGTGAGTCGCGAATATTGCTGCAGTTCTCAATAGTGTTGGCATTTTACATGTTGGTGGCGGCGTGCGTTTACTTTCGAGTGACTTCTGCACTCACGATTATTATACCTATTCTTATTGTAGATTATTCTACTTTTTGTTCTTAGGTCTTGTAAATTAATGTCAGCATACGCTATGTTTCCTGTGCTTACTACTAGTAGCTTGAGGCACTGCAGTTCCCGAGGCTCGCATCAAAACTCAAATGAACCGTGGAATCTGAATCGCCACGTGCGTGGCGGCAATCCCAGGCCGTATCCTCAATCCCTCCTTCAACTAAACCCCAAATTTTCCGAAACCCTGTACTGATGCACCCTCTCAGACCCTAAACCCTAAACCCTATGACTCACTATGACGCTCTCCTCTTCTCCTCTTCCCACACGATGGAATATGATAGAACATAATATCACATAATATAATATAGTATAACTTATTGTAATATAGTATAATTCTAATATAATATAATGTATTTATACTATAATTTATAATACAAATATAATACAATATAATCAGAATCAGGACAGCACCTCTCGAAGTGCGCGGCGCCGGCGAACCTGGGGGGCTCCTGCGCCTCGGAGTGCACGGCCGTGGATGACGAGGCTGGGCTTGGGGGAGCTTAGGGGCCCCGAAGAGGGATGTGAAATGTGGGGGTTTGGGGTTTTGAGGGTCTGGGATTCAGGGTTTAGGGGCTTTGGGTTTAGGAGTTTGGGGTTTAGGATTTTGGGGTTTTGGGGGTTTGTGTTGAGTGAAGTGCCAGGAATGGAGGGGACTCCTCATCGGGCCACCTGAGGAGCTTGGCCGACTGTCCAACATTTCGAAGTCTGAAGACTTAGGAACGCATTAGGCGAGGTACGAACGAGCTTCTTGACGCATTCGGGCGACTAAAGAAGCCAGAGGCAAGTTGGAGTATATACTATATAGGGGCCTGAGCAATGAGTCGTCCTTGTCGTGTAAGATACCCTGAAATCCATATTCTAAGTAGGCTCTGCATGATAATCCTTTTTGCAACCAGCTCGGGGCCTGCTTTGCGAAGTACCATAGAACCTCTAGCAGGTCACTGGATAAGTGATCTGTCATCAGAGGTAAAAGTTTCAGTTGAGCTCGCCAGTTCCTGCCGATGTGTTCACATGCGATCTGGATGAGATTAAGGACCCCGTTTGCGGCAAAATCTCATAAGAAGTCATGGTGTCGCGAACTGACGCAAACATCTGATTCCAATATCGCACCTCTTCTCCCATCGCTGCGCGGTTTTCGGAGATCTGCGAGAAGCGCCATTTGATACATTTGCGCCAGGTCTTCACTCACGTGACCATTGTGGATATGGACAGGTGCCTTCGGACAGCCAAGGTTACAGTGTTACAGTAGTAAGTATTAGTATATAAATGGGTTCCTGAAGTCGCACGTCGATGTGTGCAGGAGCACGGTTCAGACCTCTTGTTGTTAATGTACAGATGCAGAGACTGCTATGCTTGGCTCGTCGGTTGGGCAAATGCGTTTGCTCTGCTTTTAAGTAGAGCTTCTCAAGAATTCCTGATCGCTCGCACAGAGCTTGAGAATCTCCCGTCGGCCACCCTGAACCTTACCTTGTTGAACCCCTAGGCCCCTACGCTGTGCACCCCGAAAGGCACCGGTAAACCCCGAACACAGCCCAACCCCTAAACCCCCAAACCCTTCTCCTTCAACCTTAAAGCGAGGGCAACAATTTATTGTTGTGTCTTTCTCATAAGGATCCTACTATTTAGGACACTTGCTTAGGGTCCCCAAATTTCCGAAAGTCCCATTGGTGTGCTCAGGTATTGCTTCCACCGCTGTCAGCCCGAGGGCACTCTGCAACCTGGTACGCAGGATTATCGAGAGCTTGGAAAGTGGGTTTAGGGTTTAGGGTTTAAGGTTTTGCGGATTGGGGTTTAGTGTTTAGGGGTTGAAGGTTTTGGGATTTGGGGTTGAGGGTTCAGGGTTTAGGGCTGTGCTTCATGCGACACACCACCCTTGAGCGTAAATGTGCACACATGCACACGTGCATACCTACATACATTACGTTTGCGTTATGTTGCAGTATGTTGCCTACATACACGCATACATACATACATACTTACTTACTTACTTACTTACTTACTTACTTACTTACTTACTTACTTTACTTACTTACTTACTTACTTGATTACTTAATTACTTACTTACATACTTACACACCTGCATACCTACATACCCCCATACCTCCATACCTACATACCTACATACCTACATACTTACTTACTTACTTAAATATGTATGTGTATGTATGTATGTCTGTATGTATGTATGTATGTATGCATGCATGTATGTATATATGTATTGGTTGTGTGTTTGCAGTTAAGGGTTGAAACTAATGTGCAGGCGCATGCAGAGTGTTCAAGCAAATACGTACATACCTATGTACATACGCAAGTATGCATATGCTGAATATGTCGCGATGTACTGCGGTATAAGACACCGATAGTTTGAGTTGTTAGACGAACATGGTGCTGCGTACCGAAAAGCGCATGCGCGCGGATTCTCTGATAATCTGATGCCAGTTCGACAGAAGTTCATTCGTATGACCTGGCCCACAGCCTAACCCTGAAACCTGAACCGAACCCTAGACCCTGAACCCTTAGCCTTAAGCCCTAAACCTAAACCCTCTACAGTCAAGGCAACCATCGGAGAAAGTGGCCTTGGCGGAGAAGTCTCTTGCCGATTTCGCTGCGGGAGTTCGGGCTAAGGGTCCGAAGGTTCAGATCTTCCGGTTTTGGGGTTTAGGGTTTAGGCGTTACGGTGTTCGGGTCCGGGGCTTATGATGGAAGAAGAAGCAGCATCGTTCGCCTAGACTGGGGAAATGGGTCGGTTTGCTGACGAAGAGACTGGCGATGAGTTATTCCAGTTTCGCTGGCTGGTGGTTCTACGAGCAATACTCTCTTTCCGCAACCAATGCTGAGGCGTGTTCGAGGCAGCTAATGAGATGGAAAGAAGAGCTCTTGAGGTTTGGCGGTTCCGACTCTTACCACGGCGGCTTCAGCGTGGACGCAGCTTGCATCAAAGTGCCACACAGCTTGGAGACTTGGCAGCTTAAGCCCTGCCGGGCCAATAGATATGGCTTGGTCAACATTCCTACCGACTGACCCGAAAGTGTTCGGATTGCAGTTTTCGAGTCGCAAGCACTGCTTGCTTCTCCTTGCATGACATGCGTCTCAGTCCTGGCCCGTCTTCTGATGATAATAAGAATAATAATAGTACTAATAATATTAATAATGATAAGTCCAGCCGAGCTGACACGTTTGAGCATGCCCTGATGGGAGCTGCAGAGCACAAGCGAGGAGAATCTTGCGATGGAGCCGACTGGAAATGGCAACACAGCTGTGTGTTTAGCAAGGCTGCCTTTCAGGATTGCGATATTTGGCTTTGGACCTAAAGGTTCAGAAATTCCGGATTCTGAGCAGCTTTGTCCGAGTTCATTCAGTCATGTGATTCCTGTCCTTTATCCAGCGCCATGGCAGTAGCATCAACTCATCTTTGGCAGCTGCCGCTGATTTTGACAACCGAGGAAAGGACCACTTGCTCCCAGAAGCCATTCCTGACTTGGAGGTGATACAGCAGCGATAGGGAGAAGATTTGAGAATGAAATCCTGGCATCGCCGCCTGACCGAGTCGTGTCATTCCGGACCAATCACTCAGAGTATCTTGCAACAACGAGGTAGCTCAGACCTGTCAACTTTCGGAGATGCCAAGCGAAGACCATTCTCACTGATCCGAGGCGGCCCTGTGAACAAAAGATGGTGTGGTCTGCAAGGTTGTGTGGGCGAGACATCTTGGCTGAAGAAAACAAGAATCGACCTGCTGAAGACATCCTAGTCGTGGAGACAAAGAGCATGTTTTCGCCTGAAAACTTAGCCCCTCAGACCCCTGAATCGTATACCAAAGCCTCAACTCGCTCCCTGACTTCAGTGTTCTCGCAGGGCCATCGTGGTCCCAAGCACTTCTTGCTGGCAGCCAGGGTCTAGGTTGCAGGATCTATGGTCTAGGTGGAATGTATCTACGTTACCACATGATGATCATGTATATATTCCTTAATTAAGGAATATACCTTAAAATACAGGGGCCTCACCATTATGATAGGACTGCTGATGGTCATGCCATTGCTCCTCGCTCCAGGTACGGGTGGCGCTAGCATCATCAACCGTTTCGTTGCTGGCTGCAGGGAAGAGGCGGCTTCCCTGCTACATGGGCTCCTGAGTAATTGATAACATTCTTCCGTCGGGTTACTGTTCTAGTTCTTGGTGACATACATCCCAACACCCTGTTCCGATAAATGAGGTCCCTACATTATCGCGGATGCTGTTAGATGCCAGGACTCTCGGATGCGCGGTGCATGTTTTTAAGAACCTCTCAGAATAGATAGAAGGGTTTGTGCTCGGTTGGTCATGGCTCGTGCTCAGTTCATATTTTCTTTTAATCCCTTCGAGCAGCCGGGCCCAGCACTCCGACTTTGAAGCCGGGAGGCACTGTCGAATTCAGAGAGCATCGCAGCTAATGTAGGGATCTGAAAAAGTCCGGAGAAAACGAAAATTTGCCCCCCCACCCCCAGCCCTCTTCTATTAATAAGACATAGGACATTCAGTTGCCATCGGAGCATCCGTTTTTGGAGTTCAATGCGACGCCGTGGGAGGCGTTCGGCGCTAGCGCGGCGGGCACGGGGTGCCTTCAGCGGCACCTCGGCAAAGGACGACCAGCCAGGCCTGGCGAACACTATGGGGCCTTTATGTTGCTACGACCACCACCACCACTGCTGCTACCACCACCACCACCACCATCACCACCACCACCACCACCACCACGACTACACTACTACTACTACTACTACTACTACTACTACTACTACTACTACTACTACCACGACGACTACGACTACCACGACGACTACTACTACTACTACTACTACAGTGCTGCTACTACTACTACTACCACCACT